GCTACGTTGCTGGACTCCCATGTAGTTGACCACAGTTCGAGTCCCAGACCCAGTGGCTTAAACTCAAACCAGGCGTGTGTGCATGTGTGCTCAAGATCCAGAGAGGAGAATAGAGGAGAAGGAATTGTGGTGTGGCCACCCCCCCTGGGGGGCAATTTCTCACTTTCTGTCTCTCTGTCTTTTTCTGTCTTCCTGGCGAGCATACGCAGTCTATAGCAAAAAACCTCTGCAAAAAAAAAAAAAAAATTATTGCAACCTGACTAGGCCCTCTTTGGGCAAATTTCCTTCTCTCTTTCTCTCTTTTTCATGTGCATGCATGTACCCTCTGGCATAGTGATTTAAAAAATAATAAACAACCAGCAGATGGTGTAATGGTTACATTGCTGGATTCCCATGTAGTTGACCATGGTTCAAGTCCCAGACCTGGTGGCTTGAAGCTCATACCAGGCACATGTGCATGCATGCCCAGGATCCTGAGAGGAGGGTGGAAGAGAAGGGGTTGTGGCATGGCATTCCCCTCTGGGATGACTTCTTGCTTTATGTCTTTCTGTCTCTCTGGCAAGCATACACACCTTATAGCAAAAATCCCTTCAAATAATAATAGGGCCAGCAGGTGGTATAGTGGTTAAGGCGCCAGACTCCCACATTACTGACCGTGGTTCAAGTCCCAGACTCAGAGTCTTAAAACTCATGCTGGGTGTGTATGTGTGCATGCCCAAAGTCCTGAAGAAGGGAATCTGCCCAAATAGGGTCTGGTCAGGTTGAGTTCTGAGAGAACAATGGAGAAGGGATTGTGGTGAGGCCGTCTCCCCAGGGGTTGATTTCTTGCTTTCTATTTCTCTGTCTCTCTGTCAAGTGCTCATGTACTATAGCAAAAATCTATCTAAAAATAATAATAATAATGATAAATCATGAAAGGAAGGAAGGAAAAAAAGGAGAAGGGGGGAAGGAGGGAAGGAAGGGGAGAGACAGAGAAAAAGAACATTATCTTAGTTAATTTGGGGTCCAACATACTCTTTTAGGTTGAAATTGAAACTCGTCAATTGATGATAAAACTTGTCACTGCCTGCTATCTCAAGGTGGCATCTGAATTACAGGAGACACACGCAGGATCCTAGTGTTCCAAGAAGTGGCTGGTTCTCACTCAGTGTCTGACCTCACCGCTATCCACAAGATTGATACTCTCTGTCCATCTGGTTCTCAGCCTTCGTCAGCTCTGTGTGCTGGCACTCACAGGAGGCCTGCATTACCTTCGGACCCCTGACTGGATAGTCCTTGCTGCAGCTGCTGGTAGCGCCGCTCTCACTAAGCCACTTTTGTGTGCCCTCCTAGGGCTGTGGGGAGGTTTAGCTGCTCTCCTGCGAGTGCACAGGTGCCTTACTGGGCCCTCTGCCTCGACTCCTCACACAGCCATCTCTGCTGTCACAGTTCCCAAGAGCTGGGAAGGGAGCGTAGAACCCCTCAGCTCTCCAGACTTCCCAGGACTCTGGTTACTGCATCCATTCCCTCTGCCCCTCACAGATAACCTGGAGCCTGGGGACAGCTCAGGGCCCGTTTCCAGTCTATTACTGTCTTCTCTGACACTCTTCCACTCCCCCTCTAACTCTAAGGATTTCTGCCAGTCTGGGTAGATCATGCTTTATTTCCCCAAATCTCTGTTCTACATCTGTGCTGTGCCTTTCACATTGAAATCCATCAGTTTTCTGCTCTTCGGCTTGTCTGTGAAACTTCCCCACTTGGGGCAGTGGGGGTCTCACAGCAGAATGGCTGCCACAGAGTGAGTCCTGGAGTGCAGACAGGGTGTGACCTTCTCTTCCAGAACATCTCTTCCTAGGAATGAAAGTCTTCCCTAGAGCCCCTGACAGCACCTCCCCCTGCCTTATAGCTCATTGCTGTCCATCTTCTCCTTGGCATGGGTAACACGACCACTGAAGGGTCCAGAACACTGTTTGCTCTGAGGAGGAGGACACCGAAGAAGCAGTGGCTTCAGTCTGCAGGATACTCATCTCGTTAAGGGTTTTAGAAGGCGATCTCTGGGTTGGTTTGAGGGCTCGCTGGATTTTTGGCTCCTGTGATGTCATGATCACAAATGGCGGCAACAGCTCCAGACCTCGTGTTCTCATTCAAAGTGGGCCAAGGAAACTAGGAAGTGTTCCTCTCCTGGCTTTCTCTTTTCATCAGAAGGAAAAGTTTGCCAGAAGCCCCTAACTCAACCTCTTCATCTCCCAGGCCGACTTTTCTTACATCTTGTTGGCTGGACCTGGATCACATAACACCCCTAGCTGCTGAGGAGGCTGGGAGAGTATCTGACCTTCCTCCAGATGGAAGATAAACAAGTGAGAAGGGGCGCCATGGCAGCTGCGTTAGCTAGCCAGCCAGTATTCTGAATCTACCTGCATTTCTATGTCGACAACCCCCCAGGATGGAGGCCAGGACTCGCCTGCCCTCAAACATGAACGCACAAGGCAACTGACAGTCCCTGCCTCCTCCTCCGGAAGGCCCACTGCCAGGTCCAGTGCCTTGAGCAGCGCCTGGGAGGTCCCAGGCAATCGATAGATGAGCTATTCTTGGTTCCCTCCTCCTTACCCCTCTCCTCCGTGCAGCTGCCTACGGAGCATCTATAGATTGAGTTCTTAAGTTACATAGAATAACACTGGAGAAACGCGATACTCAGACACTCTGAAGGTCCCGCAGCAGCCTTCCTATGGGGAACCTGCGGAGCTGGCTCAGGTTACTGCAGAAGGAGGCAGGAGCAGCTGAGTAACCAGGTTCCCTGCCGAGCGACCCAGCATCTGGCCTGCAAATCCCTACCAGGTGGACAGATGTTGACACAGCACTCCTGGCCTGTCCTTCCTCCGCCCTTCACCTGGAAGCCCGGCCTGCTGAGGTCAAGACTGGGAGGGTGACCGATGGAGAACTTAGAGCCCAGCCCAGCCCGACTGGAGAGACGGGAACTGGCCTTGGCATCCCCTGAGGCACTGAGTGGAGGGGTATGGCAAAGGAGGCCCAGGGCTGCCCCCGTGCCCCAGAAATGCATTCCCTCGGTGATCACATCACCTCAGACCTCAGGGCAACTTGCAAGGTTTTTGGTGTCTGAAAACTTTAGACTGGATTTTGGCCCATTTTATTCTCAGGCCCCATTTTGTGGCTGAAGCGGGCCGCCTTCTCCCAGCCATTTGTCTTCCCAGATGACTCTCCTCACCCTTGGTCGTAGGAGCTCCTCAGCCTCTCGTCTGTGCCACCATGCCCAGGCCCCAGGCCTCAGGCCTCAGCAGAGCCCTCTTGTCCTTGTGTTGTCTGCCCCTATACTGTCTCCACCTCCCGTCTGAGCTTGTGGCCAGGGATGAAGCTGGTTTTCTTTATGCCCCAATTCTCACCCAGGGCTGTGTCTGGCCTGGAAAAGAGTCTGAGGAATCTCAAAAAAGAAAGAAAATCCAGAAAGAGAAAAAAATGGGGAAAATGCTTACAATTATCGAACCTGGATAATGGATAATATAGGTAGCAGGGCTTCATTATAACATTCCTGTTACTTTAGTTAATCTGTTAAAAAGTTCATGATATCTTTTTTTTTTGAGAGTTTTTTTGCTATAGAGCACGTGTGCTTGCCAGAAAGACAGAGACAGAGAGGCAGAAAGCGAGAAGTCACCCCCCAGGGGGGATGACCACGCCACAATCCCTTCTTCTCCATTCTCCTCCTGGGATCTTAGGCACGCATGCACATGCGCCCAGTGTGAGTTTAAGCCACCAGGTCTGAGACTTGAACTGTGATTGACTACATGGGAGTCCAGCGACCTAACCATTATGCCAACTGCTGATCCCGAAAAAGTTCATGATGTTTTGAGACCAACAGGTAGAATGGTGGTTCAGATGATAGACTCCCACATAGCCAACTGCGGCTCAAGTCCTGGACCAGGTGGCTTGAAAATCATACTGGACGTGTGTGTACGTGCCCAAAATCTTGAAAGGAGAATGGAGGAGAAGGGACTGTAGTATGGCCAACTCCCCTGGGGGGTGATTTCTCTTGCCCTCTCTCTCTGTCTGTCTCTGGCAAGCATATCCACCCTATGGCAAAAACCTAAAAAAAAAAAAAAGTTCATAAATTAAAAAAAAATGTATAAACATATGTGTTAGGTAAATAGATATTTAACCTTTATAGAACAATTGTCACATTTCAGACTTTGCACATTAACATTCATTAGCATGTATTTGATACATTACCACCTATGTGAGCTGGAACAAGTTGCTCAACTTTTCTAAGTTGCCTCTACCTTCCCCCCTCCCCGAGAGGTTTTTGCTATAGGGCGCGTGTGCTTGCCAGAAAGACAGACAGAAAGCGAGAAATCACCCCCCAGGGGGAATGGCCACGCCACAATCCCTCCCTTCTCCATTCTCCTCTCAGGATCTTGGGCACGCATGCACACGTGCCCAGCGTGAGTTTAAGTCTCCGGGTCCGGGACTCAAACTGTGGTCGACTACGTGGGAGTCCAGTGACATAGCCATTACACCAACTGCTGGTCCCAGCCTCTATCTTTAAAGTGAGGGATAAGAAATGAGTCCCATGCAAAGTCCTCAATAAGTGTTAGCAATCATTATTAGCTCATTCAAACCTCACAACAGGGCCAGCCGTTGGTGTGGTGGTTAAGGTGGCTGGAACCCACATAACTGACTACCCAGTTAGGTGCCTGGACCCAGCAGCTTGAGACGGAAGCTGGGCACATACCTGTGTGCTCCAAATCTCAAAAGAAATGGAAGAGAGGGATCGCAACCTGAGCATCTCCCTTGGAGGGCGTGTGCTCACTTTCCTTCTCTGTGCTGGTGAGTGCATGTGCTCTCTAGCAAACTGAAACACAAACACCGAAAACTTGACAGCAACCCCACGAAGTGGGTCCTACTGTATCTCCATCTTTATAGGCGAGAGAGCCAGATACAGAGGTTACAGGGTCCCATAGGCCGGGTGGAGGAATCCAACAGGCTAAACCCTGTGAAGTGCGGAGCACGCACAAGTGTCGGCCAAGTGTCCTGAGGTAGCAGTGTCTGCTGGTGGCATCAACGCCACCGTGCGCTGAAATGACCGTGACCCGCGTTCCTCCTCCCAGAACGGGAAGCTGCTGGCAGAGAGGGACGGCGTGAAGAGGAGGAATGAGGAGCTGGCCACAGAGAAGGATACTTTGAAGGTGCCACCTCTCCCTAGTGCTTGACAACTTCCATTCCTGGGACCATTTTTTCAGCCACCTCAACCTGATGACAGCCGGGGTCTTCCGTCATGCTGTCAGGCCCTCAGCACTGCCCAGTGGCCCTGCTGACAGCCCTCTCTGTGCATTTGATGTCCAAGGACTTTGGGGAGGTTGAAGAGAGAGGTTCTCTGGGAAAGCTGGATGCCCAGAGGGAGGGCAGGGCCAAGGGGAGTCCCGGGAGGACAGACGGTCGGCTCCTTCCTTGGCAGCGGCAGCTCTGTGAGTGTGAACGCCTCATCTGCCAACGAGATGCCATCCTCTCTGAGGTGAGTGGGCCGGGGAGGGAAACTGACTTGGCTTTCATGTGCACCCGCCTGGCTGTTGCCCACAGTCTGGAAAGGGAAGTTCGGCATGGGCCTGATACCTGGATAAGCAGTTCAGAGAGGGCAGAGGGCTTCCCCAAGGTCGGAGCACGACCCCGCAGGATCCCATGCCCTTCTGCCCGAGGCTCCTTCAGGATCTTCTTTCCTCAAGCTCGCCCTACCCCCAAGCAACCCTCCTTCCACCACACCAGCCTCAGTGTCTTCGGGGACCCTGGCCCAGTCTCAGCTGGCCTTGGGCTTTCCCAGCGCACGCAGCATGCAGAGAGCCTGGCCAAGACTTTGGAGGAGTACAGAGCAACAGCCCAGGTAGCTCGCGGCCCCGCCTACTTCCGTTGACCGTCTTGGCCCCTGTGTCTCCTCCCTCTGCCTCTTTCTGTCTCGTCTTTGCCTTCCACTCAGCTTCATTCTCTTTGGTATTTGCCAGTGCGTCTCCTCTGTTCCTGTGTCTGCCCGGCTCACTGGGGTTCTGTTTGGCTCTGGTCTTTGAGCCTCTCACACTCAGTGTTCCTCTTGTCTCCCTGTGGCTTGATTGCCATCCGTGTCTCTCATTTTCCATGTGTCTCCGCCTCTGCCTGCCTTCTCTTAATTTCCCTTCTGGAGAATTACCTTCTGAGTTCCCGTGTTCTCTGTCTCTTTCTGACTTCCTAAGTTTCTGCTTTCTTACCCTTGTCTGGTGATATGTGTCTGGGGAGAGCCCCCAAAGAAGTCGGGGGAGCAGAGAGGATCATGGAAGAGAAGCCTGGTGGTGGGGGACAGGGAGAATGGAGCCAGCTGTCCCCACACTTCCTCCTTGGCAGGAACTGAGGCTGGAGATCTCACAGCTGGAGGAGCAGCTGAGTCGGACCCAGGAGGGGCCAGATGAGTGAGTGCAGTGTCAGGGTAGGAGGGAGGAGGCAGGAGGGTGCCCAAGAGCAGGTGTGCCCTGGCCTCCAGCTTGGGGATGGGCGGGGCAGGGTCCCCATCAAAGCTGGCAGGCATGGAGGCAGCCTTCTCCTGACTGTGTGGCCAGGCGACCTGCAGGGGCTCAGGTGAGAAGAGTGGCCTGGACCGAGCTGCTGCCCCAGTCACTGGGCTTGGAGATCGAGGCCATTCAGCAGGTGAGCTTCGCACTCTGGACTACACTGGAGGCCACTGAGGCAGAAACTCCAAATAGCTCCCCACTCTGGCCCCCACACCCAGCCCATGTCATGACCCCAGAGCTCAGCGCAGTTGGCTCACTTGGGAACCCCTAACTCACGTTGCTGCCAGAGGCCCCGCCCCAATCTCAGCCCTTCTCTGACTCTGTCTACCTCAGGTGCCAGGCCCAACTCTGACCCAGCCTGTCCCTGTTGTGTCTCCGGAAGGCCATCTCAGCCCTTAACCTCCTCTTTAACCCAGTCCTGAGTCCTGGAGCCAAACCTTCCACCATTCCTGTTCCAGTCACTCCCCAGGCCCAGCTTCACCCGTCCTCCTCCTCCCAGCCTGCTGCTGTCTCGCTCTCTTTCTCCAGCCTGTCCTTTGGGCCTAACCTGGCTCTCCCTAATTTCTGAAACAACCTCCCTTCCAGAAGCAAGATATGGCCGCTGCTGCTCTCTCCAGCCCTCTGTGTGGAGTCTGGCAGTGTGAGGAGGTCTTTGAAGAGGTGGAAGAGGAAGCTGAGTTTCATCCTGAAGTCCCTGCTAGGGGTCAGGTGAGCACAGAAGGCTGAGGCCACAGAGTCCAGGGCTGACCAGGGAACCCTGAATTCAAAGTGCCGCCCTGGCCAGCTTGTCCCCTTATGCCCTTGCTATTCCTGGTTCAGTGAGTGAATGCTGGTCACAGGCCCACTGTGGGCTGGGCACCGAGCCGTGAGCTAGACAGGACACTGTCCTGCCCTCCGGGGGCTGGCTTGCTAGTGTGGGACGCAAAGGTGAACAAAGCAGACACACCAGTGGAGCATGGCTTCTTGTGGTGGTTTGTTTTAGAAAATACTGCCAGGAATCATCTTATTTAAACCAGTACTACCGAAGGAAGTTAGTAAGTCAGTCATTCATCCTAATAGCATAAGGAGGCATTGGCCTTGGGGTTTTGAATACAAGGTACCTTGGGACCAGCAGTTAGCATAATGGCTGTGTCGCTGGACTCCCATGTAGTCAACTGCGGTTCACGTCTTGGACCCGGTGGCTTAAAACTCAAGCTGGGTGCGTGTGCATGCGTGCCCAAGATCCCGAGAAGAGAATGAAGGAGAAGGGATTGCGGTGTGGCCATCCCCCCTGGGGAGTGATTTCTCGCTTTCTGTCTCTCTGTCTCTCTCTGTCTTTCTGGTGAGTGCACGCACCCTATAGCAAAAACCTCTCTAAAAATAATAATAATTCTTTTTTAAAGAAAATACTATTAAAAGCTCGATAGAGCTCTAAAGAGAAGACTGACCCAGGCCTTGGGGTGCCACATGCACTGGGCCTGGGGGATTCAGAGCTGAGTCACTCAGGCCAGGACCCTTAGCACTCAAGGCCTGATAGGAGAGATCACACCACCATAATGCAGGACTGTTGTGCCTGTGGTGGGGAGCGACCCTGTGGGAGCCCATAGAAAGGATATCTGTGTCAGGTGGATGTTGGGGGAATATCAAAGCAAACCTGACAGTTGAGTTCCTTTTGGAAAGAAAGAAAAAGAAAAAGTAGAGGTGTTAAGTAATTTGAGGAAAGAGAGGCTTTCCAGGCAGTGGGAGCCACCTGAGCAGGCCCTGGGGACAGGACATCCTGTGATATGGTTGGGGGTTAGCTGTGGCTGGGGAGGCTAGTGAGAGGTCAGGTGAGGGCCAGATCACAGAGGAGTTCCCTCAAGCTAAGAGATTGTATTAATACTTCTTATTTATTTTATTTTATTTCAAAATTTTTTGGAGAGGTTTTTGCTATAGGGCATGCACACTCACCAGAAAGACAGAGAGAGACAGAGAGACGGAAAGTGAAAATCACCCCCTAGGAGGGGATGGCCACACCGCAATCCCTTCTCCTTCATTCTCTTCTCGGGATCTTGGGCACGCATGCACACGCACCCAGCTTGCGGGTCCAGGACTCGAACCACGGTCGACTACATGGGAGTTTAGCGACAAAGCCCTTATACGAACTGCTGGGGTTTTTTTCTTTTCTTTTCTTTTTCTTTCTTTCCTTCTTTCTTCCTTTCTTTCTTCATTTCTTTCTTTCTTCTTTCTTCCTTTCTTTCTTGCTTTTTAATGAAACCACACAAGGCTTTCTTCCTCTGAGGGGTGGGGTCAGCTCTGGGCTTAGAAAGATCCTTCTGGACTACATGAGGGACCAGTACGAGCAGGGAAGCCAGGGAAGGGCTGGAGCAATGGGATGAATGCACTCTGAGGCTAATTGAGGCCTAGGGGTAGAGAAGAGAGATGGCCAGAGAGAATGGGAGTGAGGGCACAGGTTTCCAGGACAGGCTGTGGGAGACGCAGCTATGGAAAGGGAGGAGAAAGGACGATGCTGAACTTCTCTTGTGACCTCATGAGATGACACCCTGAGGGATGCCCAGGAGCTAGCCAGAGGTACTTGGGTGCACAGGCTGGAGCTCAGGAAATGTATTTAGAAAACAGTATAGGGAACAGCAGGTGGTAGCGTGGTGGTTAAGATAGCTGGATCCCACATGGCCAGCTGCACAGTTAGAATCCCAAACCTGGAGGCTTGAAAAGCACACTTGGGGTTTGTGTGTGTGTGTGTGTGTGTGTGTGTCCCCAAAATTCTGAGGAGAATGGAGAAGTGATTGCAGCATGGTCATCCCCTCCCCGGGGGGTGCTCTCTCTCTCTTTCTCTCTCTCTCTCTCTCTTTCTCTCTCTCTCTCTCTCTCTCTGGCAAGCACGTGCTTTCTGTAGCAAATTTTAAAAGAGAGAGAGAGAGAAGAAAAAAGTGTTGAATTGGTGGCTGAGGTCTCAGGCTACCATGAGATGTCTCCGGAGAAAACAGAGAGGTCCTGAAGGAGAAGAAAGGGAGCCAGCCCAGGACTAGGATCCTGGAGGGCTTGGAAGGGAGACACTGAGTCCTTCCGGCCTGGGCAGCTATGAGAAATGTGGGCCTTCCAGAGAATCAGCATGTGGGCATTGCAGGAGGAGGGGACAGGAGGAGCCAAGAGCCACTTCAGTTCGGGCTCCCCTGCTTGGGGGATGATGGCGCCATCCTCAGGCAGGGCCCCAGAGGAGGGCAGCTGCCGAATTCCTGCACAAGTTGCAGCCCGGAAGGCCTCTCACATACGGAGTCTGGACTCTGGGGAGAGTGTGGGCATCGTTAGGGCATGGCTGACAGCAGGGTTAGGGTCTCAGGTGAGAAGAGTCAGGGGAGATCTGATCTTTTTGTTTCCATAGAGAAACTTCCAGGGAGAGCCAGCGTGCCCTGGAGAAGGAAGAAGTGAGCCGTCCATGTGGTAAGGCTTCTTCCTCACAGAGCCATCCCTCCGTCTCGGGGCGAACGCTGGCTCACAGACGCCTAGAGTCGAGGGCTGGACGAGCTCTGTGGGAGTTGCTGTCACTCACTCGTTCACTTTAGTGGGCCGTGGGCCTATGCACCCAGAGGCGAGCTAGATCCACCCCCGCCCTCAGCAGCTCCTGATCTAGAGGGAGACAGGCCCTGGCCTATAGAGTCCAGGTGGCATTGTGGCACCCAACCCTGCCTGAAGGGCAGTCTTCCTGGGGTGCTCATGCCTGAACGGGCCCTGAAGGAGTGGGGTCAGTGGGAGCCTCAGGCAAGAAGACCTTGAGCTCCCTGTCATTTGCTCACCACACACCTCTCCTGAGGCCTCCGGGGAACCCTAGGAGAAATGTGACCCAAGTCAGGTGCTTGGAAGGTTCCTAGTCAGTTGGGAGAGCAGCCAGGGCTCTGGAGCCAGCCAGGTTCACCCAGCCCCATTCCCCACGTAAGCTGGCGTGGGCATTCTGCAGTCTCTGCAGCCCCAGCCCGGCGCTCGTTACGAAGCTCCAGGCCTCTGAAGGTTGAGAAGGCACTGGATGTCTGGGCCCACCCTCCTCCATGGGCTCCCCCGGGGGCCTCTGGTTTCCGGTGTTGCCTCCCTCTCCCCCTCCCCTTTTCCAGGCTCCTGACTGCGATAACTAATGAGGCTGCCTGCCATAGTCTCTAATTGGGCTTGTCTGGGGGGGGCCGG